GTAGGCAGTAGTACAAATTACAATTTTTTCCACCTAGATGTGAAAATACTAAATATTACATTGTTATATATATAAAATCTGCAGTACATATATACATACAAGGAATAAATACTTGAAAAATATTTGATATTTTTTTAACAGATAAACAAGGGGAAAAAAACAGTGCAACGCGTAACGTAGCCAATATATGCTGAGTTTCAGTTCATTTTTGACACGCCAATTTGTTCACAGGAAACTCAAATGGCAGAAAGCGACATCCTATTTGTTTTCTTTATTATACAAAAGCACAATGTTTTGTTTTCATTGTAAGTGTACACAAATAAAAGACTTTTAGTGATGCATTATTAATAAGACAATAAATGAGTGTTTTAAGTTGATTCTACTGGTATAACAGTTGAAGTGATCGCACCGGCGCACACACACTAAACATAGTTCCAGCATTGCTAACTTGACAGCACAGTTGGTACTTTATCAAAATAAAATACCGTGAACCAAACATCAGCACGCCCACCTCTGTGTCACTGTTGGAACGCGACTGAAGTACAAAGCCTAAAATTTACATAAATAGTTTAGCATTCAGATACAACGCAAATATGGAAATATTATGGAATATTTGGATTTGTGCCGAATGGGAGAGGTAGGATACACGAGCACAAAGCTCCATTTCGCGAACAGTGTGCAAGCCTTTAAAGTATACTCCTTTGTCACATGGTCACTGTCTAGTGGGCTTTATTTTCAAGTGCGCAACACATGGCATTCGCTGTTCTTCTGCTAGCGGTTATCAAACAGCACTGCATTACTGCGGGCGCCCCCTTCTGGATTGAGGGTGAATTGCCTGTATTCGTTGTAAGGCCTCATGCACCGAACGGAGATGTCCATAACCGTGACAGTTCGATATGAATACATGTATCGTTACACCCCTATTATTTTTATTTATACAGTGCACAGCATAAATGAGTACACCCCCTCTGATTAAATATAAAAGATGTATTTTCTTAATGATCACTAATATAATTCATAGAAAGATGGCAAAATTGAAATGTATTAAACATCTGTCTAGTGGGCTTTATTTTCAAGTGCGCAACACATGGCATTCGCTGTTCTTCTGCTAGCGGTTATCAAACAGCACTGCATTACTGCGGGCGCCCCCTTCTGGATTGAGGGTGAATTGCCTGTATTCGTTGTAAGGCCTCATGCACCGAACGGAGATGTCCATAACCGTGACAGTTCGATATGAATACATGTATCGTTACACCCCTATTATTTTTATTTATACAGTGCACAGCATAAATGAGTACACCCCCTCTGATTAAATATAAAAGATGTATTTTCTTAATGATCACTAATATAATTCATAGCAAGATGGCAAAATTAAAATGTATTAAACATTCTTAATAAAAACTGAGAAATACATGCCATTAATATCTGTAAAATAAGAAACTTAGCCAATTTTTGTTTAAATGAAGGATTGCAGAATTGAGTACAACCTAGATTTAATTCAACCAAGTGTAATATTCTAGAACTTAATATGTCCTCCATAACTCTTAAGTACACTGCTCTGACACTTCTTGGCACTGAGTGTACAAGATGTGTCACTTCTTGGCACTGAGTGTACACATTTTCACATCTGTGCTGTTTAACTCCTGGAGGACGACCTCCTTAAATGCCCTGGTCTTTAATGGGGAGTGTTGCTCAGCTCATCTCTACAGAATCCTCCACAGCTGCTCAAGAGTGTTAAGATTGAGTGAAATACATGTCCACTGAAGGATTTTCA